GAGGATATCTTTTTTCAGCAATGGTGAATTCCAGCACGTGTGCATTGGGTCTTTTGGAAAGGACGCTATGGAAAACAGAAAACGCTTTTGACGCGTTACGAGATATAGAAGGAATGAAGAAACGTCGATGAATGTGCGGTACTATTTAAACAATTTCCATCGTACCGTGTACATTACGTATACGTAGAGATGGCGTGCTTCAATCTTTTTATACGTTGCGTAGAACATTTTTGATGATCACGATCATAGCGATTAAGATAGAGGGTAAATAGGACTTTTTTTTTTTTTTTTTTTCTTTTGCGTTTTCTTCTCTCCATTTCTCTCTTCTCTAGATTTATTCTCCCTATAGATATTCTTCCTCTCTTTTCCTGGTTTTTTTTTTTTCTTTTCTTTTCAATTCTTCTCGATCTATCCAACTTTTTGATGTAATTTTTTTAAAGCCTTTGCGACGATAAGCGAACAAATTTCTTGATATTGACAGTGATGGTTAATATCATTGTTGAAACGGTCGAGAAGAATCCGTTCGTTTAATGTTCGGAATACGAACTTATCGAAAGAATATAACAATCCTTTTGTATGTACGTGCACAATCCTCTTTCAGTTGCCTCCGTCTTCTTCTTCCACTTCCTCTTTTCTGTTTCTCTTTATCTGTATCTTCCATGCATTCTGTGTGCAACATTTTTCTTTCCTACTGTGAATCGCGTTTTAGAAATATCGATTCGATGATCGGTAAAACTTGAGTAAATCGTTCGATCTTTCATCGAAATTTCAATTCGAAAAATATTATAATAAACGATTCTTTTTTTCTACGAAATAAAATCGATTTGTAATTAAACATTGAGAAGAAATATTAAAATAAAAATATGCCGATCATTGAATCGAGAAGAAAAGGCTCATCCAAACTGGGAGCGTGAAAATCTCTAGGAAACGCCTATGATTCTCCTCATAGTTTGTCAACCAATTGTCTATTAGAGGCTGATCAAGACAGGTAAATAACGTAGTATAACGACAGCTCTGATCTCGACAATGGAAAAAAAAAAAAAAAAAAAAAAAAAAGGAAGAATCTCGATTTTTGGAAGTGCGAATCGAGAAAAGAGCGCCGCGTATACCGGCAACCTCTGTCGCTGCTACCAGTGTTAATCCGTGTTGCTGGCTGAACCGGGCATTTATCGATATTGTCCGTGTTGCTGGCTGTGTATGTATGTGTTCTCTCACGTGTGCGGTGTGTGCCCACGTGTGTGTTTGCTTGCTTAAAAATTCGACAAACTCAATATACACTCGCTTGCTCGATCGCCCGCCTGCCTGCCATCGCAAACTTCCTGAAAGTTTACACCGGCTATTAGTCACCGGTGTCTCCTCTAGATCGTCAATCATATACCATATATTTCGAATATATATTTCAATCGACCAATTGCAAATGCAAGAGATCGATCGAAGAGAATTTCGTTGTACCACCGGTGTACCTTTTACGATTTTACAGGAAGAACTTTATTGCCTATTCTGCTTGCAAAGTTTACGAAGCGCAAAATTTTTAATCGAGTGATAATAACAGGTTTGTTCACATTCTGGAATATAGATCGTTAGATTTTTCTCTCATCGACGAATGAGATATCACACGGTCTTCGCGAACTTTGCCGCCTTATCTGCCTTGGCTGTTTGGCTGCCTGTGTGTGTTTGCCTGTCCTCCGCGAGAACACTCTTCATTTCTCTCTCTCTCTCTCTCTATTTCTCTCTACTACTACTACTACTACTATTACTACTGTATCTCTATTTCTCTTTCGATGCATCGTGCTGTCACTTTTCTGGCTCATTCTATCGATACTCCGTTGCGCACAAACCACGTTCACTCACAGAAACACGATTGGCATACGATTCGCGGGCGAAGAGAGAGGTGGCTGAGGTCCGTGATCGAGAATTACGAAAATCGATTCTGGGGTCGATTCTGATCGATTCCAGGGAAACGAGCTACGTCGCTGTTCGTTCAGAGAATCTATCACGCTATCACCTTCTTTTCCTTCTCGTTTCTTTCTTTCTCTCTTTCTTTCGTTCCGTTTCGTTTTGCTTTCAATCGTGGATTCAAGTCGCGATTCCAGTCGATCGCTCTCGTCTTGTCTGCCAAAAAGATGTCGTTCACTGTCCATGCATCATCCACCGCCATCGCTACCAACCACCACCACCACCACCACCACCACCACCACTACCATCACCACCAACCACCACCACCACACCGTCATACGACCGATCGAACTCCCCTCACTCGTTACTCTTTCTTTATTATGCACCTGAATATTCGCCAGAGTATTTACCCGAGAGAAGTGTGGAACAAATAAATAAAACATTGAGATGGAAAGATAAATGAACATCCGGTAAATACTCGGAATTACCACATATTATAACTTTTAAATTCAACGGCTCGCTCTATCTCGTTTTGATTTCTTTCTCTTTTCTCTGAAAACTTCACATGCACATTTCCTACGTGGATGAATGCGCACCGCTTCTCTTTCAAGCTGTACGAGGAAAGGAGCAAAGAACTTCTTTTGTTTCCGTTCTCGTGACCGACTAAATAGAAAAAGCGTTCCAGAAAAAGCACACCCGTAATTAGTTCGGCGGTCAAACATTAATGGATGATAATTTTTACAGCACGAGTATCCCTTGCAGCCTCGAGTATCCGAGGTTTTTCTTTTCTTTTCCTCTTTTTTTCTTTTTTTTTTTTTAAATCTATTTCCTTCATCTTCCGCAATTCGTTTGAATCAGAGATCGTTTGTTGTTGGCCGGAGAGCGAGAAAAGCTGGTAGGGATGAACGCGGCGGGATTTATGAAGAGATCTCGAGCTTTCTTATCGAAAGTTTCGGATTTAGAATTGTGCAAAGGAAAAGAAAAGATAAGTATCGTTTGTTAAAAACGAATGATGATTACGGCAAGGTTTCTTCCCTCCCTTGTTGGTTTTATCCAGTCGAAAAGCTCGGCTCCTTTTCTTTGCTCTCTCTCTCTCTCTCTCACCTCTCTCACTCATTCTCTCTTCTTCTCTCTCATTTGATCATTCGCCGCTCTCTTCATGCTCTCCTTTTCGTTCCTTCTCCACTTCTCTGTGTGCGTGTGTTCTACTTTGCATTTATTTAAATATCTTTCGTCCGTTTGAGTCCCGAGATCTCTCCGTTTCCAGGAAAAACTGTTCCAGGAAAATCAGGTTTACATTTTTACACGATTTTGTATTTTTTTTTTTTTTTTTTTTTTTTCTTTTCTCTTATTCTTCCGTGATTTATTTACACTCTATGATTTTGATATCGTGGAAAAATTGTATCCGTTCTCGCGACTCAAAATGTGATCGAAACCTTTCGTTTCTGTATTGCGCATTTTTATTTTTAATTTACTTCTCCATGAAAAAAAAAATCTATATATATATATATATATATATTGTGTATCGATCTGTATTCTGCGATACTTTTTTTTTTTTTTCTACATACACTATATATAATGTGGACTTCCTTTT